TGCTTGTCGAATTATTTCAATATTCGGAACAACGTACTTATGGGAATCATTTTTTTCCACTTTAAAATTCGTGAAATCCAAACACCGATCAGTATTAACTAACCAGCATCTCAAAGAATTACTGCGAAGTGCTGTCACCAATTGTTCACCAAATTTTAAGGAATTATCAAGAGAAGTAAAATAAATGTGTTTAATTTTTGATATTCAAATTCAATGCATATATTTTGTACTTTTATTTATATGTTTTCAATAAATATAATGTCTGTAAAAAAAATTTTAATACCTCTTTTGCATACCTTTTAAATACGTTTTTAATTGCGGCTCGCGAAAAATTTCAAATTTTGAAATATGGCTCGACTATCAAGCAGCTTGGCCACCCCTGTTCACCAACCATGTATCATGACTCTACTTTTTAGAGTCATATTTTAGAATATTTTTTCTACTTTTAAGACCATATTTAGCTCTGAACTTGTTATCTCGAAAACTCGGTATCTCAATTTTTTTTTCAGAGTACCTTCGATTTTGAGATATCGAGAGTAAACTGCAGTTGTATTATTTTAGGTTAAAATAAGTGAAAAATATTATATTTAGCCTTTTAATAATTTATGGTTATAAAACTCAGCAGGAAATACCGATATTTTTCTGAGTTAAGGTAAAATCTTCCAAGCTCGGCTTATTTCCAAACAAAATTTTTTAAATTGTGCACTTATTTGCATTATTTTAGATCTAAGAACACGGTTATAAAATTTAAATAAATCATAAATCTGTAGATTTTGACCTTCTCGCTTGTCTGCACGATCTGAACTGACTCATTTCAAAACTTAAAAAAATACTAGAAGCGTAAAAATTATATTTCACACTGAAATAGACAAATCAACAATGACAAAAGTAAAATATTTACTTTTTTAAATCTACCTCTATTTTTTACTTAAAAGAGAATAATATACATATAAATTATAATTAAATAATACATATAAATTTTAATTTAAGTTAAGATTACAAGATTATACAAGTATATTTGTTATGTTATGTATTAGACCATCTAAAAAATTAATTTTTGTAGATCTCTTAATACTATGAGCCTTCCTGGAGGACAGAATGTTTAATATATCTATTTTTCGAGTGCAAATGATATTTTTGCTTCCTTCGATTGAAATTTGTTGATGAAAAAGTATAAGCTCTAAACTATTTTGTCTTTAAAATCTATTCACGTACTTGACCTTCGATTTTTAATAATTATTTCCTTCCTTCCTATTTAATCTAAAAAACAAACAATGCTTAATAACCAAACAAATACTTAACGCATCGAATTGTCCCTATATGTAAATATTTTTATCCGACATCCTATCAGATGTTACTGTGACAAAAGATATGGTAAACATTCTTGTTTATTGTCATTGAACAAGGAGAAGTAGTTTGTACTGTATCACTGTGTAAATTTATGCCAACCAAATTTGTTTGCAATGAATGGTGAGATATACCATTTTGCGGAACCATCTAATAAATTCATTATTTCATCGGTAATTGTGGTAAATAAATTGGGTCAGTGTAGCATTTTTAGTACTTTGTATTTATAAGATGTAACAAAAAACAAAGTAATCTCCGCTGGTTGGAAGGGTAAAGACCAAAAATTTAGTGAATGATTTTAGAAGGCACCAGACCAAAAATATTGACACACGATCATTTCCTTCAGATAGTATGTTTTTAAATTTAAAGATAATTATCTTATTTGACTTTTTCACATATTGTAATTCAGAAATAATTACTACCCATCAGATGGTGTATCCTTATATAAGCAGGCCTTCCAGCTACTACGCATTTTGCAGAATATTTTCTAGGATGGTAGACTTTTCAAAACCCAAATTGCTACATTAAAACCTATTTCCAAATAGAGCAGCTAATTAACATTTCTGAAACTCTCCTGAATAGCTCTCTTAAGAATGAATTAGTTAAATGTAGTGGAGAGCAGCACAGCTGTTAACAAAACTACTACTTGAAAACTTATTTCCGAAGAGCGCAGATAAGCAGTATTTCTGAAACTCTCCTGAATAGCTCTATTAAGAATGAATTAGTTAAATGTAGTGGAGAGCAACACAACTGTTAACAAAACTATCACTTGTAAACCTATATCCAAAGAGCGCAGATAAATAGCATTTCTGAAACTCTCCTGAATAGCTTTCTTAAGAATGAATTAGTTAAATGTAGTGGAGGGCAACACAACTGTTAATAAAAATACTAATTGAAAACTTATTTCCATAGAGCTAAACTAAGCAGCATTTCACTCTTCTAAATAGTTCTTTTAAGAATATTTAAATTAGTTAAATGTAGTGGAGGGCGCACCACAGCTGTTAACAAAACTACTGTACTTGAAAACTTATTTCCGAAGAGCGCAGATAAATAACTTTTCTGAAACTACTCTTCTAAATAGGTTTCTTAAAAATATTTGAATTAGTTAAATGTAGTGGAGGGCAACACAACTGTTAATAAAACTACCACTTGTAAAGATATATCCAAAGAGCAGAGCTTACTAGCATTTTTGAAATTCTCCTGAATCAAATGCATTTTTACTTTAATTTAAATCGATGAAAAGGAAATTTTATATTCGCTACAATTATTTTTTAAATTAACGAAAAGGTAATCTTTTTCTCCTTTAAAAAAAAAGAAAAGGTGAAAAATCAAGAATATTTTCAAGAAATTACTTGGTAAATGCTAATTTCTTGGTTTTGTTGTTTTAATGTGTAGGGGGAGGGGGAAGAAAAATCTAAACAGGCTCTGAAACGCTGCTCACCATTTCTCTGTTTTTGCTTTGGCCAAGATCTTTATAATTTATGTGTTTCAAAAAACTTAATTCATCTAAGTGAACATTTATATGAGTTATCAACTTTTTCAGTCTTTGAAAGGTAATTTTTCTAAAATATCTGAAATGGTAACTATCCTTTTATTTATTTATTTTCATTGATTTATTATTTTTTTTTGTTTTCTTCAGTATTATTACGTTTATTATTTTTTTCATTGATTTATTATTTATTATTTTTCATTGAATTTGAAATTAACATAATT